GGTGAGGGCTCGTGGGGAGTTTTGACTGTTAGGTTTAATATAAAACTAAGACGATCGAAATTAATATGATTTAAGGGGTTTGTAGTGGTTTGAACAGCCCGGGGGGACGCCCCATAACCCGTGTTTGTGTCGGAGCTGCAGGATCTCCCTGGGATCTCTCGTATAAACAGTGGTTTGTTTAGGGTAGGACCTACAAATGAACGCCACAAGGTACAAATAAATAATAATAGGGCACATAAATAAAGAACTGTGTGGAGACTGCGACATCGCAGGTGGGTGATGCTCCGGCCCGAGGGGCGGCTTGGGGTGCCCGGTTTGTGGGTGACCCGCTGTGTTTGCAGGGTCGCCATGGGCCGCTCCTCCAAGGACAAGCGCGACATTTACTACAGGCTGGCCAAGGAGGGCGGCTGGAGAGCCCGCAGCGCCTTCAAACTGCTGCAGCTGGAGCAGCGCTTCCAGCTCTTCCAGGGTACGGGGGGAACGGGGCCACTGGGCTCCCGGGGGTCACCGGTGTCACCAGGGTCACCAGGGTCACTGGGCTCCCAGGGGTCACCGGGGTCACCGGGGTCACTGGGCTCCCAGGGGTCACCGGGGTCACTGGGGTCCCAGGGCCTGGGATCACTGGTGTTCCTGGTGTCACTGGTGTTACTGGTGTCACTGGTGTCACCGGTGTCACTGGTGTAATTGGCGTCCCAGGGGTCCGCCGGGCCGTGGATCTTTGTGCCGCCCCCGGGAGCTGGAGCCAAGTGCTGAGTCGGCACCTCAGGTGGTACTGGGGGCACTGGGAGTCCCGAACTGGGGGCACTGGGAGCCTCAAATGGGGAGGCATGGGGGTGCTACTCTGGGGGCATCGTGGGCTGGGGACTGGGAGGACTGGGGGTCCCAGCTGGGGACACTGGGAATCCTGCTGTGGGGTGTGGCTGGGTGAACTGGGAGGACTGGGAATACCAGTTGGGGAGGGGGTGTTTCCCAGGGGTCTGGAGGGGCACTGAGGGTCCCCCCTGACACCCCAGGGGCTCCGAGGGGTCCCCAGCCCAGGTGGTGGCCGTGGATCTCCAGGCCATGGCGCCGCTCCCAGGGGTGCTGCAGATCCAGGGGGACATCACCAAGGTGGGGATCCCCTGCTCCCGCAGACCCTCCCAAAACCTGCAGCCCCCTGAGATACCCCTGGATTCCCCCCAAACCCCATATTCCTCTCCGGGGACCCCCCAGACTTCATTTTCCCTTCCCAACCTCCAGGCCCCATTTTCTACCCTGAGACCCCAAATCACCCCCCAGATACCCCTGACCCCATTTTCCCCTTCCCACCCAGAA